GCGGGTCGCCCGGCGAACAACATGGCAGTCTGGTGAGGACGGCCAGCCAATGGGAGCTAGGCGGCCCATATGACGTCGGGGACACACCACCCGCCTTCCTTCAACTGACAGCTCGCCGAGAGCTGACAGGGCGGGAACGTGCCTGAGGGACGCGTTCGGAAGGAAGGGGGGCCCCCTCCGAGAGTGAGGCGACGCTCCTCGCTGAGGCGGGGCGCTCGCTCGCGCTCTCCCCTCGCGAAGATCCACGTCCGCGTGGCTGGGGGAGCTCGCGCCGTACAGAATGTTCCGTTTCCCAACCGTCTTGCTGGCGGAGAGGGAGGGGGGGGAAACGGTCACGGGGGCTGCGCCAACCGCCGCCGCCGCCGCCCGCCGAGCCTGCCACAGGGCGAAGACCTTTCTCTTGCTTTCCTGTTCTTTTTGTCCCCCCTCACAAATGCAGTTTTTGTTTCGTTCGGAGAAAGTAAAGAAGGTTGTTTCAGCTTGTGTGACAATTGAAAAACATCAACAACACCACACACACCAAACAGCTGCCTTATTTTTTAAAAAAATTCCTCTCACTCTCTCAGGGCTTCTTGGTGAGCCTCGGGGCTGCGTGGGGATTTGAACCCACATCTCCCTAGTCTTGTTCTGAAACTGAAGCACTGAAGTACCTGGGGCTCCCTCACACAACCAACCACCTCTTCGCCTCAAACTGCTTCACCTTTTCACCATGGACATCCATAATGTTCCCCCGGAATGGCTGGACTTCCTACCTTGAAAACTTCAGACTCCTGCTTCGTATCTTCTTGAAATCAAAACTTGGCCTCAGGCTGGATGGCACAATCCACACACACTGCAGACCGTCACGACACCCTGCTTTCTTTCCTTACCTCCCTTCTATTACGAATGGAGATAATCTTTAACAAGTGATGGCTTTGTATAGGGATGGACACGAATTGTGCCTTTTTGACATTTCTGAACTCTCCATGGAGTTGAAATGTTGAAACTGAGGCTATTCTACTTTGGGCACATCCTGAGAAGGCACGATTCTCTGGAAAACACCATAATACTGAGAAAGGATGCAGTCAGCCATCAAAGAAGACCAGATATGAAATGCATTGACTCCAAGGGAAGCCATGGACTTGAGTTTACAAGAGGAAGGCTGTTGAGGACAGGGCATTTTGGAGATCTCTCATTCAGAGGGTCCCCCGTAACTTGGAGGCAACTTGACTGCACTAAACAACAGCCTAGGTTTTTAGTCAGAGTAGGACAGGCTATAGGTTTGTGACTAGCACATGTTGAAATAGAGCTGACTGGCAGTACCATCCTACAGGAGTAAAACTATTTGAATTCAGTGCAACAGTATTACGAAGTAAAAGTAGGGAGAAACAGTTTCTCCTGCAGATGACTTAAAATGACCCAGAATTGGGAAGACGAGCCAACTGAGGCAGTGTTTTTAACCATTTTCAACGCTCAGGGATTCCAAGAAGTTACAGGTAGATCTTATTTTTCCGTTTGCCTGACAAGAGCAGCCAATGTTGGGAAGCACCTTTTTAAGATGACAAGAGGTAGAATCATTAGTCCACAAAACAAAATGTCATGGTGGCGTCAGCTTTTGGGCAAAGTTCAGTTCAGTTTTTCACTTCAGCTGGCCTTTGTTTGAGATGAGGCAACAGGGAAAGTTTGTCAAAGACCATTAAAAGGGACATACCATTGATCTCTCGGTTTGCTTTAGCCAAGCTACAATTCCAAAACTGCACTTCTGTGCATGTAGGTGACTATGTACAAATGTCATTGCAGTTCACTCCTATCTGCAGGCAGGTTGCAAGATAATATCATATCCTCCTACTGATGGTATATGCCAGAGTTCATCTCCCCACTCTGATACTTTTAAAAATGTATTTCCTGACAACTGACAAATCTAAAATGTATTTCCATTTAAATGCATACAATGGGTTGATTCAGGTGACAATTTCCAGTTTTACCACATATGTATCCTGATACAGCAGATCTCTATGTTTACATCTTGGTTTATCAACAATGATCATAAAAGCCATGGTAAATGAAACCATACTTTCATACAAGGCCAGTGTTAAAACAAGGATTTGGATCTTGGACAATTGTGAAATCTCAGTTCCATCCTCTCCTCCTCTCTCCCTTTGTCCTATGCCATCTTGCTGGCTTCTTCTGTACCTCTTGTTTACATTCTCCTATTACCTGCCTGTCCAGTTTGCTCCTTCTCTCCCATTCTGTTTCCTCCACACTCCCCTATTTATTCCATCTGTTACTGCACTTCCTGATATCAATGTGTCATTCACAGAAGTTGTAAAACTGACATTTGGAGGCTAGTGAAGGGACATTGGGTAACATGGGGATGGATGTAAAAGCAGGGGTTTTCATAAGATGGTGGTCTGCTGTATATGGTGAAGGGAACCAAAGTGACTCCAAGATGGATTATGTATGTGCAAAAAGGACTAGGTGGGGGATGGTGAGCAACTGCCAAGTCATGATCAGGAGATTGTAAGAATGTGATAGACAGAAGGGAGGGGCCAGGAGAATGGGAGCTACAAGGGGATCGTATAAGAGGTCCCCAACCTTTTTGGGACCGCAGACTGGCTGAGCCTCTGAGGAAGGTGGGGCACACACACCTCACACTCGTGCGGGCATGCTCTCTCGGGTGCATGCACTATCTCGGGTGCATGCGCGAAGTGGTACACATGTGCAGGACTGCCATCACCAGCATGAGCACTCCCCCACCCCTTCACACATGTGCAGGAGCGCCTGCATGCCCCCTGCATGTGCACCCACCGCTTTGCGAGGGCGTGTGGGCACATGCGTGAAGGGGTTGGGGAGTGCTCACACCAGCGCTGGCATGTGCGCGTGTGCACAAAGTAGCTGTGGGGAGGGGAGTGCATGCAGGGGGGAGGTCTGTCTCAATGGTCCGGCTCAGGCCATGGACTAGCACCGAGTCATGGACCGGGGGTTGACGACTTCTGGTATAACTGTTTAAGGGTATAAAAAGGGGGGGGATCACTTGTTTCTAAGCGCGGCAGTTTTAAAAGAGACTGTCTGCACGTTGCTTTGCTCAGCTGATTAAAGAAATGTTTTCTGACCTCAAGGATGTTTTCTTTTGTATCCCAGTTGCACCTGAATCTCAGGACATCTTCACCTTTGAGTGGACTGACCCTGATACTTCACATTTGACCCAACTCAAGTGGACCCATTTGGCTCAAGGACATTGCAATTCTCCGACTGATTTTGCTTCTACCCTATCCCAAGACCTCCAGCATTTTTCTCCTGCTCCTGTTACTCTTTTACAATATGTGGATGACCTCCTTCTAGCAGGTAAAACTCAATCTGAGGTTATTTCCCACTCTGTCCATCTCCTCAACTTCCTTGCATACTGCAACTATACAGTATCCTAAACTAAAATTCAGTGGGCCTCTCCTTCTGTGTCCTACTTGGGTTATCTTCTAGACTCTGGAAAATGGTACATTCACCCTGCCTGACTACAAGCTCTAAACCAGAAACAACTCTGGAGTTTTCTGGGCATGACTGACATTGTTCGCCTTTGGATCCTCAATTTTTCTCTCCTGGTCAAACTGCTGTACTCCCTGCTCTGCAATGACGTTGCCTGGGATTGGACAATGGAACATCAGCAAGCCTGGCAGGCCCTCCGGATTGCATTGGGCCAAGCTACCGGCCTCCTATTGCCAGACCATACTGCATCTGTTTGTCCATGAAAGACATGGCATTGCTGCATTTTCTACAGATAGGTTGCTGCACAGAGCATCCTTGCACATTATCTTTAAGCGTTGAAGAGCTTAAAGCAGCGGCCAGCAAATCATAAGCCATTTTGTCAAGGTTGGGTGCCTTCCCCGTATAGGTGAAGTGCATCATTTCCTTTAAAACTTCAGGTTTGATGTCACTGATGTTAACTCGGTTCTTTTTACTCTCCTCCATTTCATGTTCAAATATAGCACTGAAAACTGGAGAACAGGCTGCTAATATGTCTTTGTGAGCCTGGAACTCCTGGCCCGCCACACACAAGCAGCAGTCTGTGAAGCGAGAGTTTTCCCAAAGGCCTCCCAACTCATCAGCCAAGCGGCATTCTGGTACCTTCACCAGTACTATGTTCGTAGAGTTTTGGCCAGAGATAGTGACAGAGTCCTGT